GTAAGCAAACAAGGCTGGGAATACTATAGACATTATTTACTCACACTACAAATCCCTATTTGCAGGATTTTAAATTCCCAATTTTTTATTTACCTTGTTTGCTGGCTTTCTTTAAGCTCAACTATAGGCAAAGGATTATTTAATATGGTAGCTAACTTTATACATTGTAATGATAATAAACATAGCTAGCTAGTCACAAGCTGATACAGTTCATGATGATTTACTGTAGCTATTGACTATTTCATCACATTAGTTCAAGATGTAAAATGTTAAGCTGAAGCTAGAGATTGTCATGGAGATTTGTTTGAAAATATACTGAATATTTATAGTTTCTGTGTAACTAAGTTTTCTATACCTAGACTAAAACACGACCTCCACTAAGCTTATATACAATTTTACCAGTAAAAAGCAGCATTTTCAAATAAAACATATGTCTAAAACATAGCTTTAAATAAACTTTCATGTCTTTTAAAGTGATGTGTGTATCGATTTTTTTTTTTTTTACTCCTTCACTTCATACATAATATAGGGGTTGGTTTCCTACCAATTGTATAGTGTACAAAACATTGAGTATGTACATGTTAGTCATCTACTATTGGCTGGTAATTTCTGTTTCACCTTACACTTAAAAGTAACACCAGATATTTGTAAGAAAGCTAACTTCAAAGGGTAATGATAACATCATTTACACTAGAATTATGTTTTTTTAGCTTATGTAAAATATAAGAAACAAATTGACTTTTCAATATCCCTGTAATCTTCATGGTACTTTATTTAGTATCCTACAAAAAGTTTGGGTGCAACATACTAAGCCATTTTTGTTGTAGGCTAGCAAGAGAATAATAATTACAAATGAGCCATTTTGAGAGGAATTTCTGTTCCTTGCAAGTCTAACATGCATGCCTTTTTGTGCATTTTTATGTGTGTACAACTTTAGCAGTCAGTTTAAAGGTTTTAAATTGTTGTTTGAACTGAATCTTTACTGTCTTAGGTGCTTTTTGCCCAAATGTTCTATTAGGGTTTTGTGTAATCCATTGTGATCCCTGTTATGAACCACCATTGTGGTTCATGATAATAGAATAAAAGTACATAAAATACATCAATAATACTTTCAATTATATGGTTTAACACTTAGTTTAAACAAGATGACTATTTTCTGCTTAATGCTATTATATATTCAATGTGTTTGGGCAACTGAGCATACTGAAATGTGTGAAGCATCCATTCTTCCACAGCTCTCTACTAATTGGCTAGCTTTAAGCCTGAAGACTCACTCCTTTTGTACATCATGTAGTCCTTTTTTCATGGACTATCCTAGAAATAACCACATCATGGTCAGCAGTGAAGATTAAATGTGAAATGCCTTACTTTCATTTCTGAACCAATGATTTGAATACATATATAAGAAAAAAGTTGTGCAACAAGTACTTGTATTTGAACTAAAACACATTAGAGTATATTTTTTAATTCATATCTTAGGTGCTATTGCAAGTAATGTATAGTATAATAACCTTAAGTTTTAATATTAATCTTGAATTTGTGACTGAATGTTTGTGTGAATCCTTCTTTTTCAATAGAAAAGTCGGTTTAAAATAATTTTCTTAACCAATATATCCATCATTATCACCAATACATCTCTCCTTTAAAATGGAACTTGAAATTACAAAAAACAAAGCATTTGAATGACACTTCCACTGGTTGGTAGACTTTCACAATGCAGCTAGAACTTCTTAATATTATATTAAGAAAGATACAAGAAGATGTATCATTCTATTCTACTATTAAAAGGGGGTTTTAAGTTTGGCTGTGCCCCCTGGTGCATGTTAGCTAGAATACACACACAAGACAAAAAGGCACTATGTTATCATTACAGTAGTAAACATGAGAAGTAAATAAAGCATCTGTTAGCATGAATGAGGTTGGACAAGAAATAATGCGAGTTATTAATCCACATTATGGTCAAACATTCAAATGAATTAAACTGTACAGATACCAGTGTGTGAATACACTTCATTTTTAATTTCCTTAAGTATGTTAATGACCCACATTTTTCTGTTGTATAATACTTCAAACACTACTGCTCAGTTTGACATCGATATCTTTTAAGATCATCTTCTGGTAAAGGTTAAGACTGTCAGTAGATGCCTTTAGTAGTTTATGAGAAGATAATCATTCAAAACTAATTGCTTATGTATGATTTATTTAAAGTGACTGAATATATCAACAAACTATTTTTTTTTTTATTAGATTTTATTGTCATATGGAGAAATAAAGATCTTCAATCTATAAAACTATTATAGGCTACTTAAAACTTAGTTTTACTTTACAAAGAGTGTATCAAGCCTTCAGTTATGAATACAAATAACTTGCAGATATTCTTATGCATATTTATCAATTTTAATATACAGCAAATTATACAAAATCCTGATTAGTAGTTAAGCATGTAAATTCATAGTAGATATATCTAAATTGCTCCATTTTATGTAAAAAAAATTACATTTTAAGAATTTTTTTTCAAAATACTAAAATCCATGACATGCCTGTTTTAAAACCCTATTTAAATTAAATTTTTGCATTAAAATAATATGAAGCATTGTTTTATTACTTTAAGGCTGGTACTCCAGATCATAGTTATGATCACATATTTAAATATTATATGGAAAAATTATTTTCCTGTATTTGTACAAAAATAAAACATTAATTAGTGGAACAGTCATTACTTAATCTCTCATAACTGGATCATAAAAATTTTTCTAGACCAAATGCCTCAAAGTGGCTCAGCAGTAAATTTGAAGGCTTATAACACCAAAAAATGTGGTCTGATACCCAGGGTGGACAGAGTGCAGATAGCCCATTACGTAGTTTTGAGTTTAGAAACAAATTAGAACAGGTTTGTTTTTAAATTTAAAAAAAAAATTAACTCCAAAAGATTGAAAATATTACTAACGAATATTTTGAAAATATCAAATTCGTTACCAAATTATTTTTGATTAGATGTAGATTATAAATATATCCATTTTGTGATTTCAACCTAAAGAAAAAAACTTGTAATTGTGTAGATTCAATTAACTCACAATTAAGTTAAGTTGACAAAAACTTTTCTTCAAGTATGATAAGGGCAACTGCCACTGTAGTCAACAAACTCTTTTAATGACTTTATAATTTCTCTTATGGAAAAACATTAAATAATTAAAAGTGAAGAAACAACAAGTAAGTTTTATATATTTTGTAAAGACAAAAGCAAATTGTATTTTTTGACTAGAAAATAACATCTATATAAAAAATAAAAAGCCCGAGTCCAGTGTAATTACAGAACAGTATATGGATATTACATAGAGGGACAATGTTAATGTTTTACCAACAGTGGCTCCCATATTTGCAGATTTTTGTAGTAATGTTTTTTTCCAAATTGTTTTTAGTGTAATTACAGAACAGTATATGGATATTACATAGAGGGACAATGTTAATGTTTTACCAACAGTGGCTCCCATATTTGCAGATTTTTGTAGTAATGTTTTTTTCCAAATTGTTTTTAAAAACAATTATCCACTTCACAAACATTTTCATTACACAACTGCACATTAACCACTGGGGACCATTAAATACATATTAAATGGGCTTGATCTAATGTTACATTTTAATACTTTTTCATAGTTATGCATATGATTTTTGCAACTGTTTTTTTTAAATCATGAACACTTGTTTCAACCTACTTAATTTAAGACCAACATCACTTAAAGTTTTTGCAAATTTGAATATAGCTTAAACTAAAGAATGAAAAACATTTTGAAATTAATCAGAGAAAAATAAGTACATATTTGTACTTTGTATAATAAAAAGAAAATTCCACAGTATACTTCTATTTTGAGAGATCCAGCTCAAAGAATGTTAAGAGCATTTTACTGCAATTAAGAATTTATCTAATAAGAGGGATGTAAACTTCCAAACTGGAAGATGTAATGTTATTCACAGAAGCTCAACATAAAATGAATTCAAAACATCCAAGAAATCTAGAATATGCATGGAATTTAAACCAGCAACAAAATTATTCAAAGTCAGTTAGTTTCAAGAAAGTGGCCTGCATGGAAAAAGTGCAGCCAAAAAATCCTAGTCTTTCACATCTGAACAGGGTCAAGAGATTAAACTTTGCAAAAATTAGAAGAAATTGGACATGCAAAACAAAGACTGAACTTTCTTAAGCTTATGTGCAAAGACCATAACTATGAGAGCTCTAACTGTACAAATGTATGTAAGCAAAGAGTGAAACTCGGTGGGTGGATCTATAATGCTGTGGGAGTGTTTTCTGTTGTAGATATTGTCAAAATTGAAGATATTACAAAGAAGGAACAGCATCACAATATCCTAGTTGTCATGTAAGTCCCCAATGGATGATGTTTAATTGGCTGGTTTTGAATTTCAGAAGGATAATGATCCAATACAAACTGTCCTGCTAAATAAGATGCATTTTGAAAAAATGAAAGAGTTGATGATGTAAAAGTTTTGAGATGGCCAGCACTAGGTTTCAATGCTTATCCAGTTGTAAGTCTGTGAAACAGTTTAAAAGCAAGATTGCAAAACAGAAGCCAACTAATCTATAACAATATTTTGAAACTGGCTATGCCAGCTGAACGTAATCATAGAGTCAAGACAGGGGGAGCTACTAAACATTAATTACTGAATTTAAATTTCAAAATGAACTTGTTATGGCTAACATTGTAATGCCAAATATAATTGTAACATCTAAACTGAGACAACACTAGAAAGCTGATACCTTGGACTCAGACTTTCCATACTTGCTGTAAATCATCTTAATAACCCAACTGTTGTTTAATTTATTAAATATAAATGTAACATCCAAACTGAGATTAGACTAGAGAGCTGATACCTTAGACTCAGACTTTCCATACTTGCTGTAAATCATCTTAATCACCCAACTGTTGTTTAATTTATTAAATATAAATGTAACATCCAAACTGAGATTAGACTAGAAAGCTGATACCTTGGACTCAGACTTTCCATACTTGCTGTAAATCATTTTAATAACCCAACTGTTGTTTAATTTATTAAATATAAATGTAACATCCAAACTGAGATTAGACTAGAAAGCTGATACCTTAGACTCAGACTTTCCATACTTACTGTAAATCATCTTAATAACCCAACTGCTGTTTAATTTATTAAATATAAATGTAACATCCAAACTGAGATTAGACTAGAAAGCTGATACCTTGGACTCAGACTTTCCATACTTACTGTAAATCATCTTAATAACCCAACTGTTGTTTAATTTGTTAAGTATTATGCAAAATTCAAAACAAATTTGGAATTGACTCTGAATTTAATGCAACACAAACAGAGACACAGTTTTAATACATGTTTTCAAAGAGAAATTTCACACCTTGTGAAGATTATACAACAAACCAGAGTAAAAAAAATTTCACCAACAACCTTGATACTACAAGAAACACAAAGTACATGCACATATGTTCCACAGTAATATTTTGGTTAATTTTTTACACATTTGATTATATTAAATATCCTACAATATCTATAATACTAAATCATGATGATACTATAATACAACCTTGGCTTGCTATAAAAAGTTGACTGTTTTTTAACATGTTAAACTTTCATTTTTTATTGTATTTGCATACCATTATGTAAATAGATTATTACACATTTCATGAATATAATTAAACATTATGTTTATAAATGTATAACTAAAAGTAGAATTTAACACTTCTACATATAAATGTATAAATAAAGAGTCGTTCTAATTTTTGGCTGAAAGATTTGTCATCCTATGGTAAAAGAAAAGAGCTTATGCAAGGTTAAAAAAGGATTTCATGGTAATTAGTGAATTTATTTTCAGACTGATAAAAATTTTAAAATACTGTACAATAAAGAAAATCACAGATCATAGTTGAAGTATTAGAAAAAAAGTCTTTAGCTTTTAACCAAGGTTACAACTAAAAGATTAAGTGAGAGTTAATATCTTAAGTGAAAAGTGTTCGCATATTCCTTTCAATAACTGTTGGAAGTTACAATCAATGGGTTGTTTAGACCCTTGATAGTGGTTTTAACATTATCTTCTTGAATAGTGAGGTTACAGTTTATTGGATATTACAACCACTTGTGTTCTTGGGGTCCTTGCTGGTGGGCTGGACATTAACTTCTTGAACAGGAGGAATCTCGCCTTCTGCTTTGGCTGCTGCATTCTAGTATAAAAATATTTGTGTTGATTATTACAAAATTAAGAAAATCCATTTATAAAAAAACAAATGAATTTTGTATGTATTGAAAAATAAACTTCACAAGTTCTTTCATACTAAAAACTGTTTGACATAAATTTCCAGTTCTTTAATTTCAGTCTTTAGGACACAACAAACACCACATATACATCTCACCAAGAACATGTAATTATCAAAACAACTCATAAAAATACATTTCTTGGATTTATTGACTAACTATGAATGATGAGCACAGATTTATAGATTAAAGCAATACAAATAATATCAGTTTTCATAATCTTAAGCATATCAACTGATATGTATGAAAAATTACTTAATCTTTTACAATGATACTTGCCAATGTAAAAGTTATTTAAAATCAGAAGCTGCATTTGGAAGTTTCTGTATTTATGTACATAAAATGACAATTCCTATTGTAAAGAGCAAACTGAAAAAGAGATGTACAACATATCACTACAGAGTTCAGAAGTTATTTTTGAGAAAGACTCATTCAAGTTATATCCATAAGTCAAACAACACTTTCTATTCCACAAAACAAACCAACTTACAGAATTAGCAGGATCCAGAGGATTAATTTGTGAAACATCAAAAGCTGCATAAGTAACTGGAGTCCATAGTGGACTAATTGTTGGTAGCTTGAACTCTTCTGGGCTAACAAGACCATAAGTTGCTTTCAGTTCTAGTTCTGGTGGGTCATATGGAACACGCTGATGAAATCTATAAAATGTAACATGTTAACAATCAGAAAAACATCTGTTTGAATCTGCATTGCTATTGGCAACAGTTTCAATATGTATCAGTATCAAATGTTAACAATGTGAAAATTTCTTGGATATAATTATAGTTTCAACTAAATCTCACATCAGTTTCAACTATCATATTATTGTTATTTTTACTCAGAAAAGTGAAATCCTGTTAATTAAAATTAGGTTATTATAACCAGCAGCATAAGTAGTGTTATTTATATAAAATGAAATCAAATAACCAATTAGGTGAAAAAAATAAACATTTTAAGGCCATAACAATTTCCAGCAAAAAATGGTATAAATAGTTAACTTCCTGTATTCAACTAAAAAAATATATTGCATTTTTTTATCCTAAGCATTTTATATAATTACATATTATTACTTACATAAATCCATTTTCACGTTCACATTTATCTAATGTTCTCTTGACTACTGGTCCCAGTTTTCTGAAAAAGAGATGTTGCTCTGGTTTGGCACTTGTACCTGGTCCTTTAGTATGGGCATAATCTTTACACAGCTTTCCAGTTAGTGTATAGTCTTAAAATAAAAATATTATTAACTTTCAGTTTTAAATACATGAATATCAAGTAAACTTTCAAAGTATTTTAAAATTAATTTCTGTAAAGTACACAGCATAATTCTCTAAACCAATGATTAAAAACATTCCACACTGTAAGGATATTTTTATGTCCCTCTCTTAAAGCTTATATATATATATACATATACTGGCCTTAAACTTAGATAAAGTTAGTCTCTAGTCTTAAAGAAAATGGTCCTTCAAAAGCCTAGTTATGTAACCTTGGCTATCTAGGTCTAGACATCCCTTTTTAGGCCTGCTTAATATATTCCGATAATCACCATGGAAGTCATAATATATTTTGTGACTAACATCTGGCAAGTAAGTTTTCTCCTAAGACCAAGGCATTTTTTTTATGACTGTTCTTTTCTTCAAGTAATCCTTTATTCAACCACCACAGCTGGAAACAGTTCTCTTCTTAAACCTAGTAACATTGTCTGTTGACTTATACAGGATAAAAAGTATTTTCTTCTAGACAATAATATATTTTAACACCTATCACAGTAAGAAACAGTCACATTTTCAAGTCCAGTGATACTACCATCAAATACGTGCTCTGAAGTCATCTATATACACATGATAAACTTGGGAAAGCATGAAAGGGTGGAACATTGATCACAGTGTATTATGCAAAAGCTTCCTGCAATGGAAGTTGTGAGCAATAGTCCAGACCATCATACAGATCACGATTAGTGGTGGAAGAAGAGCTCTAAGCCCCAGAAAAGCATCAATTTTTGTATCATTACCACAGATCATAAACAACCCTCTGTATTTGAATGGAAAGATTATTATAATTTTAAGATAAAGCAGTAACCATGCATATTATACAATCTGCATAGGGAACAAAAATGCTTATATTATAGAATAATGTTAAAAAAAAAGGTATAAAAACAAAAGTTCCTGATTAACAGTTTTGAATATATTTTATCATATTTTACTGCATCACTTCACTACTGGCAACCACAAGCTTAAAAATTAGCTTATACAAAGCTTAAAGCTAATTACAAGTACAATCCAAATTAAGAAAATTATATAACGTTTTGAATCCACTTTACATTCAACAACTGAAGTTCATGTTTTGTTCTTTCTTTACATTTTCACAATCAACTGTATATCATGTATGAAAAAGTGCCTAAGTATGGTATGACTAAAGTAAAAGTTTTCTTTCTAACATCTAACATAACAAATAAGGAACTTAGTTTTTCAGTTTTTGTGTAGATTATTCTATTTAGGAATTACAATGGAGAAGACTTTCTTCTAAGCATTTATTTAATGTTTTAATTTCTGCTTTGAAAATGATTTCAGGTTCTGATATTTCAAACACTCTGTATAACAGGGTTTTAACCAATTTATTTTACAAATGTAACAAGTCCAGTGAAAGTGAATTTATGATACACTTTAGAAGTAAGTATACCCTGGATATTTGAGACATGAACATCCCAGAACAAGTTTGTCATTCTGTTGATTTTCAACAGAAAACTATATATTGGAATGTTTATCATTTAAAAACTGGAGAAATTCATTAACTGACTCAACAATGTTACCCATCACAAAAGTGTCATCAACATATCCCCCTATAATACACGGACTTAAAACATTCATGAAAAGAATGTAACCAAACCTTTTTTTATAGAAGCACAGGAAATGTTTAGCAAACTCACGAGCTAATAGCCACACCATCAATCTGTTCATATATTTTCCTGATAAGTATAAAATGAGATAACTTTGTCACAAAACACAAATTTTAACTCTTTCACTATGGGCTTGGTTGATTCCACCTAAAAACTGACTCCAAATTGACCAGTAGAGTTTCCATACAATAACTTCTAATATGTTTTGTGTATCTTCACAAAATTTTGCAAGTTTTCAGTAATCATTAAGAATCGTTTGAAAACAAAAAATTTGAATTTTTTAATGAAGTACTTTGACTAAAATTTTCACCATGAATATATTGAGTCAAAGTGTTGACTGCTCAAAGTGCGAAGTTATTTTCATATTAAAATACTTTTCTTCATCTAAAAACTCTCAAATTTCATTTGTGTAATCTCTAAAATCTTCTAAAAACTACATTTTTATCTGTTATTTTCTCCACCTATAACTATAAAAAAAAATTGAAATAAGTATGAATTACCCTTTTTCTTCACAGAAAGACTTCAAATTGTAACATGAAACCACATTTGTTTACTCTAAGTAGCTTTAATCTGGTACCAATATACATCTCTTTAAACTTAAATTTTATTGCTCTTTGAACTGTGTCTTGCTAATATTCACACCACACAAGTTGTAAATCACTTAGTGAACATGTAGCTCACGTTACCCTATCGAATTTTACCTAATCTAAACTAAAAAGTTTCTTTTTACATTTAAGTTACTTTTATAATAATAAATAAAAAAAACACATGAAAAACAAGAAAAAAGTGCTTACCTGGGTCTTCCTTTTTTTTGCTGCAATACTGCACTAAATAATTTTTCTATTTAATTAAATAATGTACCAGAATAATAATAATATATCATTTGATAGATTAAAACTGGTTTTCTATTGATTATAAATAATAATATTATTAAACATCAGAGAGAACTAGTGGCAATTTCTAAGAGAGAGGATGCAACAGGTGGGCACGGCAAGAGGGGTCTCATTTTCTATTTTATGGATCTGTAACCAAATACAATTGAAGACTATATGATTACGCTTTGCCTGAGCAATGAAAACATTATAATGAGTAATTTACATTAAATTTTGTACTTCTAGGAGGGATGGTAAATAAATTAGAGAAGAGAAGATACCTAGAAAGCAAATGTCAACTCTCATACTAAGGGAAACTGAGGATTTGTTTTTAATATTGCTTTACAAAATTAAAACCTAAAATTTATATAATATTAAAATTTGGATTATTAGCTATGTTTTTATGTTAAGTTTATCTATTCAAAAAAAAACCTTAGATGCAAAAAATTGGTGCAGCCAAAAATTGATTGAGCATGCGAGGAATGAAATAAAAATTAGCAGCCAAACTGGTTGCTACACTTATATCATTCATATGGATTTTACAACAAATATTCATTCATTAGTTAGCCAGGCCACATTTTTTATTTTAACTTGGGGCATGGTGTTGGGTAAAACAAATTATGTAGCCTAGCTAACTAATGAATATTTACTGTAAAATTATTATCAATGCTTTTTGTCAATATACACCAACAAACCACAGCAAGTAAGAAAGCGATACTCAATAGTAATCAACATTAGTTTTAAGATCATAACCCTATTATTTGCAACAGACCTATATTTTACAGAACCAACCAGATTCTTTAAAATATATGGTGGTAGTTTTCCTCTCTAAAACAGTGTTAATAACTTCCTTTACAGTAACATCATGGAATCTAGATTAACAGTTTCTTGTCATCACCCATATGCAGTTGGTATGCCATATCATGTATAATTATTTATGTTAACTGCTTAAGCTAATATCATCTGATGTTATATGCTCTTTAATTAGGAGAATTTCACCAAATTTAGCAAATTTGTGCTTAAAAGTCGGCAATGAATACTGAATAATAAACATCCACCTGTATGATTCTTTTGAAAACTTGAGCTAGAAACTGCTAATCTAGTTTGCCTGGCCTAACCAATACTCATGTATCTGCATGTGCTTTCACCCTATAGTTTTGCTGCTCTAAATCAGCCATCTTTAATCCAAATGACAAAAAATTAAAAATGGTCCAACTTTACTCTTATGTGAAGCTGTAGTAAAAATTTCAAACCACGTTTTGCGTAGGTGTGGTAAAACATTTTGGTCAAAACCGAGTGGTTGTTGTTGAATAACTTTGCACATGTGGCTTATATTTAGGTCAAATTTGACACCCATTTGTTGGTTGTATAGATCTATCAGTGTACCAAATTTAACAAAAATCCATGAAAGTTAAGTATGTTTTGCATCAATTAAAGCTTCCATACTTTCGGTGCAAAGAAGAAAGAAAAGAGAAAAAAATTCAATCACAATTGAAGATTTTATATACCGTGTATTTCTTAATGGATTGCCTTGAAACTTGGTAAGTGAAATAACAGTGCAGTAGCAGACATCCACTGAAAATGTGATAGTTTGAATTACCACAGTCTGAGCTACAGAAAGTGTAAAATTGCAAAACTATCACTACTGTTAATAACACACAGTGCATCCTGCAGAATATTTTGGCCACAGAACACACTACCATGTGCACTGATTCATGTACCATGATAAGAAATTAGCTTAAATTTTGAACATAACTCAGTAAAAACCTTGTGACATGCACAGGAAAGGATGGCCATAGTGAGAGGGTTAAAAACATCTTTAGTTATACACTGTAAAATTTCATTATTAGTAAACATATGATTAGAACAAAGATCAGTGGTTTCATCTTGAAGTGTATTTATAACCAACAGCTCGATATCATAGCTAGCACAATAAACATCATCATTAAACAGTGTCCATTTCAAACTACTGACAAATTCAAAACTAACCTTAACAGAATATTCATTCTGTACAACTTTTTTTAAAAACAGTCAAAAATCTTGCTAGTGGTTTATTAAAAGCACTTATACTATAAATAGTTGATCTACGTGAAAAGAATTCCAAATTAGAATGCTACTCTCTTGCCACAAAGCTAAGAAAACCAGAAGATGAGCATGTAAACTGACACTACATGTTACAAGTACACTAAATTTTTATTTATTTAAACAATGTACCTAAGAACATAAAATAATTTCACACACAAAGCAAACAATATCCTATAACTATTATTATTAACTGGCTTTCTAACTATAACAAGAACAGCTTAAAAATTAATTCCTTTTGTTGCTCAATCTGAATACCACAAGAAAAACTTTCAAACTGAGGATGAAATTGACAATACTCTGTACTGAAAACAACATAGCACTAAAACTCTGCCTTTCTATTGGTTATAAATAATATAAACCATCAGAAAGGATTATTGGCAAATTTGTGAAATAGAGAATATGACAAGCGAATGTTGCAAATCGATCTGATTTTCTAGTTTATGACTCCATAAACAAACAAGATTGAAGGCTATAAAAATTAGAATTTGCCTTAGTAATATCCATATTATAACGAGTAACCTACTTAAATTCCCTACTTCAGCAAGGGGGTGGTAAATAAATTATAGAAGAACAAATGTCACAGTTCTTATACTACGGGAGATTGAGGATTTTTTTAATATTTCCTTACAAGATTAATAATTTAAAACATACAAAATGTTAAAACTTGATTTATTAACTACATTTCATTGCCAAGTTTATGTGTATACTTAAATTTTGAATGTGGCTCTGTAAAAGGTTGTGACATGCACACTTTGACCTACCCACAGCAAGATGATTAAGAAGTTAAATAACATTACAGATATGCTTTTCCTGATATACTGATTAATGCAGCCCAAAGTAAGAAAATATATAATAGAAGAAACATGCATGATATAGTGGTTAATGCAGTCCTAAATCTCTCTTTTTCACTATGAGTAGGTAAATGTGCATGTTACAATGTTTTACAGTCACATTCAAAATTTAATTAAACTACTTAATTATCAATGTATAAAAATAAACTTGGCACTACAACATATGTTTTAATTTCTTAATTTCAAAAATAAATACATTCTCTATCTCCACTTGTCTGCGTAACGTGACATTTGTTTGCTCCAACTTTCCTTTTTTTTTCCTCACCCCTATATAATGTTCTAATTTTAAATAATTACCCATTTTAGTATAGATATTATTAAGGCACAGCCTAATTTTCATAGCCTCCAAACTTCTTTGTTTACAGAGATATAAACCAGATGCCACACTCTCCTATCACATCCTCTCTTTCACAAATTGCCTATAACTCTCTATGACTTTGCTATTACATCATTTATAATCAATAGAATGACAAAGTTTAAATTTACTGAATGATGTATAATGCTACTTTTGTTCTCAGTGTAGATTTTTAGTTATTTTGAAAAGTTCAAGGTGAACAGCCAAAAGAATTATTTAACGGTACTTATGTCTTAGTTAGAAAGCCAATTAATTTATAACAGTTACAGGACATAGTTTGCTTTGTATGTGTTATTTTATGTTCTCAAATGCATATTTCAAATAAATGAAAATTATTTTAATTACTAGTAACGTTGTCACAAGAAATTAGGGTTAAGTTTCATCCAACAGCAAAAAAACAAGAGGCAAATGTAAGTACAAAATTTCTTGTTTTTTTATGTACATATTTTTTATTTATTGTGAAAAAAGTAACTAAAATGTAAAAATTAAAAAATATGAAGAAATTTATCCTTGGGGTATGCTCAAAAGTAGCTCATGCATTACGTTATTCAGTACCGTAACTTGAGCCACATGTTCGCCATGTGATTTACAGCTTGTATCTCAAGATTATTGATAAGACCCAGTTCAAAGGGCAATGAAACAATTAAATTAAATAAAAACAGATATAAACTATTTCAAGAATTAATCTGTTTAGAATAATCATTTTCTGTTATAATCTGCAGCCATCTAGAAATAAACGAGGGTAATTTAGATTTACTCCATATTTTGTTTTAGTGGTTAGAAGGTTGATCAAATCAACCAAGTCAGTATAGTATTAATATAGAGAAGCTAACAGATAAAATACAAAGTTTTACTGAAAAAAAACTTTTGATACTCATTTAGGAGGTTCTAGAGGTTATGGAAATGATATTTTAAACCTGTAAGATGAAAAAAGAATGATTTTTAATATTAAAATGAAATTCTTCTTGCATTCAGATTAGTCATACTCTGATTCCATATATTCACAGGCAAATCTTTAATACTTAATTAAAATCTAATTTTTTGTGTTTGAAAGACTTGTAACATTTGCTAAAAGCTTGACAAGTTTACGCTTACTGCATTAACTCTCTCAACATGGGGGTCGGACAATTTGACTAGCCATGTGACCTCTTTGTACTCGTTTTAAAGTCTTTATAGATTTAATACTTTTAACTTTCAATATAGTGTGTATATCTTCACAAAATTTGGCAGTCTTTCAGTTAACATTGTAAGTCTTTCACATACAAAAAATCATATTTTTTAGTGAAGTATTTTTAATAAACTAAAATAAAGACTTGTCCATGAATATATTGAGTATTTGTTTTGAATAGTCCGTGTGCAAAGCAATTTTCACGTTAAGATTAAAAATAATTTTCCTCATCTCAAACTTCCTTTGTATAATCCCTAAAACCAACTCAAAATCGTCTTAGTCAATTTAACCGACCTTGTAACCACCCCCAAAAAAAATATATAAATCTAAATTATCCTTTTTTTTTCTTTCTAGAATGACTTCAAATTGTACCATGAAACTACATTAGTTTATCCCAAGTAACTTTAAGTTCGTAACAGTATGCTTCTATATATAATTAATTTTATTGTTTTATTGTAATAAGTTGTAAATCCCTCAGGGCACATGCAGCTCAAATTACACTATCAAATTACATTATCTACGTGCTGCTCATGTGCGTGCCTCGTGAAACATTTTTATTATATTAATATTATTATTTATTTTACCTAATCTAACGTTAATTAACTTAAAAATATCCCTATTTTTACATTTTAGTTACTTTTAAAATAATAAATACAGAATAAACATGAAAAACAAGAAATAAATTACTTACCCAATCTTCTTTTTTCTTGCTGTCAATTATACTTAAGCCTACATATTTTGTATGAGTGGTAGTAGTGCATTAAATAATTTTTATTTAATTAAAGAACATAGACTAATAACATGCAAAAAGCAGACAATTTCCCCTAACTCTCAAAAATTTTCTGGTTTTTTAACTATATGAAAAGAGTCGTTACAAATCCATCCAAGCTAGTCATTAACTTTAACCTGAGAATGAAGCTTGTACTCTGAGTGAAACTGATGATTTATTGTTCAGAACACAACGTTATACAATACGACATTTGATAGATGAAAACCTTGACTTTCTATTGGTTATAGGTAATATATAATTAAATATAAAAGAAAACTATTAAAA